CTGAAGACTAAGTTCCAAAAGCAAGGGTGGAAATGACAAAGCTTTGCCCTGTGATATCAGTCGAGAAAAATCTACCCCATCATAGAAACCTTCAAGATCAACGAACAAAGTTATGAAAGTAACTTTGCGAAACTTATGATCTTCTGCCTTGATCAAGCGAGAAAGTGCTGGGTCAAGGGAAGTGTGTCCTGGGGTGGCGGAGTCGAAAGGGGCAAAGGCCGCGTACTCCTTTAACCAGCTCTCCAGGAGCGGGCGTCGCAGCTTGCTGTACACTCGCCAAAGGACCGATGTGAGAGATATGGGGCGCTCTTTTTCTGGGGTTTTTGCAAGAAGGGCGACCTGCACCGTAAGCATTTGAAGCGGCAAAGTAAGGTCCGTCTCAGCAAGACGAAAGAGCCCCGCAAGCTGTCGGTAGCAGAAGTCAGGGAGGTTACGCAGAGCCTTGTACGACCAACCATCAAGGCCTCCCTTCTTGTTGCCCGTGGCCAGGCTCGCTGTCTTGACCTGCTCCCAAGATAGCGGTGACAGATCCTGCGCCTGCTGCAGGGCCTCAGCCCTTAAGGCGAGGCGCTCTGCAGACAGGTGAGGCTGCGGCGGCACAATTGACGCATCCCAGATGCGGCTCCAGAACTCCATGCGACAGTAAGCCCGGGCAAGGGCCGACTGGTCCCGAAAGGGCCGGGCGAGAGTCTGTTCGTGGCTTTTAAGAGCACGATACACCGGCCCCATGCCAGCCGACAGGGCTCCAAACAGCCATTGTTGATATGACTCCGCCTGCGCTCCCTGCTGAGCGGTCTTAGCAAGCTTGGCCTGCGCCTCAGCATGGGACCTCAGGGCAGCGAGGTCACGATGATTTGAAACAGTGTCCCGGGCTTCGTCTGCCCATTGATGATGCTCAGGGCCGAGCTTGGAGAGCAGGGAAAGGGTTTCATTGGGCGGCCCCCCAGCCTTGAACCGGCCTGCGAGCTGGGACCAGACAGCGTGCTCGTGACCAAACCACTGGTAGTCATTGGGGGGTTGCGACACGGCCGGCTGACGAATCGTCGGCAAGTTTACCCCCCTGCCCATGGTCCTACCGAGTAAACCTGAAGCCTCAGCGGTGGCAGAAAACTCCGCAAAGGCGAGGGAGGCGGGGTCACAAGCCTCGATTTCCAGGAGGGTGACCCTCTGCGGTGACACAACCGGGGGTTGCAAATTGCGCTGGTCGTCAAGAATAGGGTCAAAGGAGTCAGTGATGGAGCGCAAATTTGGCTGGAGGTCCTGCAAAGACTTAAGAGGAAGGGTGCACTTAAGCGCCGCATGGGGCTTAAAGGGAACATCCCAGGCAAGCTCAAGCGAAAGATGCGAGGCCAACCGGGGGTGGACCAGTGCATAGTCCAGCTCGGCTGCGGTGCCTGCAGTAGGCATCCCAGTACCAAGTAACCGACCCTTTGTGAGGTCCTCAAGCCTGGTGGCGAGGACCTCACAAGCATCTAGGTTCCAGTCTCCAACCACGCACCACGGGCACTTGAGCGAGGCAATCACTGCATACATATTGGACAGGACCAAGGTATTGGCCCGGCCTTCAAAAGTGCTGCCTGACTCAAGATACAGCGACAAGAGGGCTAAGTCGAAACCCGTCACCCGAATAGCGACAGCCACGAAACCACAGCCCGTTTCAGGATCCTGAAATGTGTGAACGTGTCTGGCCTGCAAATGCGACTTAACACACACCATCACACCCCCAATCTCCCGCTTGCGAACAGGGGAATGCTGGCCATGGACATGGTAGCCTGCCTTGGCGAGGGCCACCGTTTCAGCATGAAAGGCCCTCTCCGAAAGGTGGTGCTCCTGAATCAAGGCCACATCAAACTGGTGAAAGACCAGCCACTGCCTAAGTTCAGGTCTCCAGGAAGTCACATTTGCCGAGACAAACTTGAAAGTACGAGGCTGACCCGAGGAAAAAGAGTGAACTAAGTCCTCAGAAGCACGAGCGATGCGGGCCCAGGTCTCAAGGCTGTGATCCTGAATCTCAGTGGCCTCCAAAGACTTAAAAAGGACCCAGTGTTCCAAGGTGCCCTCCTGGCATTGCTCCTCAAGCCCTTCGGCGAGGTGCAAAAGGTCAGGCTCCTGGTTCCAGGCAGGATGCAAAGCTTTATATGCACTCAAGTTTAGCATGCAGCCCCAGCTGGGTGGACTAGACCCTGGCTCACCCTGGAACACCTCAAATGGGCTCGGCGGAATTGTGGATTTTGAGTATTTAACGGACAATTCGGCCGACCCTGTTGAGTGGATCGGCGGAATTGTGGAATTTGAAGGGTTAACGGACAATTCGGCCGACCCTGTTGACTGGATTGCAGAATCATAGTGGGAACCGTGCCGTTACAAAAAGGGCATGATCGGTCCACGACACAACAAAGGTTTCTTGCGGTCCCATGGTTCATGTGGCTTGCAGTCAGCTGGCTCAGAGAAAATGGCAGAGTGGAAAAACTTGGGTCCAGTCAGTGGGCAGCTAGAGGGGGGGCACACGGGTCGTCCCACAACCTTGGGATAAGCAAACCCCTCAGCTAGCTGCTCTGGCTGGTCAGACAGAGTCGGCAGGAGCCTCGAACCCTGAGGTGAGGCTCCGACCAGGCTCACGTCAGCACGACAAATGCTGGCCCGAGCCTCAATTGGTGAAGATCGAACATGGATTCCGGCACTGCAGCTGCAAATCTGGACTCCCACGGCTGTTGGCACGAACGGGAGGCCACAGTACCAGCACTTGAAATAGGGCACAGGTGACGCGTCAGGGCTTGCGCTCGGCTCCGAAACTTCCAAGTCACGCAAAACCTCACTCAGAGAAAGAACCGGAAGACAAAACCCAGAACCCTGGCGCAACCCCCCACCGAGACCCTAAATATCATCGGATTTTTCGCCTGCACGCTTGGGCGACCGGCTGCGCTCCTTGACTGGCTGGCTGGGCGGCCCTTTGGCATCTTCGGCTTCCTTGTTGGCCTCAGTGACATGGGCCGCCGAGCGCAACTGAGGAGCCAATCCCGGCGGGAATTGCTCCTGCTGCTGGGTCTTGCGGCGCTTGGCCTCGTCTGCGTTTTCCTTCTTGAGAGCTTCGAGACTGCGCTTTTGGGCCTCCGTAAGGGCCTCTTCCTGAATCCCCAGGGCCTGCAACACAGACTCGACTCCATGGTTGGCCTCTTCATTGCACTGCGTGAGAACCTTGGTTTCATACTCCTGAGTGGCTTTATTGACCTCAGTCTGTGCCTCCTGGATGGAGGTCTGCAAATCTTGCATCTTCGTCAGCATGGCCCTAAGGTTTGCCTTGGCCAGGTCAATGTCTTCCTGCAGCTTCAGCTTGCGCTGGCCAAGGTCGCGCAACTTACCGACGGAGTTGCGCCACTCAACACCTGCAGCCTTGCCTTCCTGCACTGGGTTAGGGACCGGTGCTGCTGGCAGAGCATCCAGGACTTCCTGGGGGAGATCATCACGGTTGCGCTGCAAAAGGCTGAGTAGGTCAACATCTTCCTGCTTCGGGGCCGGCACTTTAAAGCCAGCCTGCTCAAACTGCAAACACACATCTGCAGGCAAGGTGGACCACAACTTCTGAAGGCAGCTTGCTAGCTTAGCTGGCTTCGGCTGCCGAGTTCGAGGTCGCGGCCTGCTAGGTTCTCTCCAAGGTGCCTGCGGTACATCAGCGGGCCAAGGCTTGCCACACCAACTGCACTTCGCAAACTTCTGCACTTTAGAGGCATAAATCCAGCTTGCAGGACCACAGGTTTTGCACACATAGTACCTACCTCCTGCCATGACTGTTCTCTCAGCCCCTGAGGCGAGTGAACAGCCCTCAGCCCTGGAGGCGAGGGCCGGCACCTGCACGCTGGAAAGTGACTGGCAAAATGCCAGCACTGCACAAGTATGGCTCGCGAAAGGATAAGCTGGGATTCCTGTTTGAGTCCTGTTGCCCCAACGACAGTTAAGGCCCAGAGGCTCAGTTGAACACAGCTACGCTCCCTACGCAGAACACCCACCTCTGAAAGCAGGGCTCGAGCCAGACTTGAGCCAAGGATTGAAAATCATTCCGGTGGCGCGAGAAGTCCACGGCCAGAGGCCTGTCTGAAGAAACCCTGAGCATGCATTAATTAAAACTGGCTGTAGCAAAGCCAGGGCTAAGCGAGTACGCCTTGAAGGCTCCAGTACAACCAGTAGCCTCAAAGCCCTATTCAAAATCAGAAGGCTGTACAGGAAGGTGTATGGCTCAAGTAACCTCAGGCCCCATTGGGCGAGGTAGCGGTTGAGCGACCTTCATAACTAACTCACTTAGCTCAGTTGGCGGCCAAGAAGAAAAGGAGACCGTGCAGCTGCAAACCAAAGTAGCTGCAAAACAGGTGTGTCAAGCAGGTTTACAATGTTGCAGTGCAAACAGAGGGATGGGCAGCAGGGTACACACCTGCACACACTGCACACTCTTGCACGGAAGGCCCCCCCCCCCCCTGTTGACTACACGTACCCTGTACTGGCCCTGCACAAGCTTCAAGAGTACGAGCCTCAGCCCAGCTGGCGAGGCGTGGTCCTGTAAGAGACAGCGAAGCGGAAAAGCATTCGTGTTCCTGCTGTCAGATCTCCTGCTTCTTAAAGGCACCTAAAGAGATTGATCACCTGCCAACTAGCTCTCAAAGCAAAGGCTCAAAGCAAAGGCTGGACACTCGGGCTGACCGGACCGAGGATCCTGCAGAGAGCGGGGCTCCTGAGCACCGCAAGCCTGCCAGAGCACGGAGAAGCGGAAGCAGGCAGGCTACGAAGCAAAGGCGATGCTGAAGTACAGTGCTCGAAAACCATTTTGCAGAGCAACAAGGCTGTCACGGCCTGTTGCGGGACCTTTGGTCCAGGTCAGTGCCCAGGCTGAGCTGCAACCTGCCACAGCCCCGGGCCCTCAGCCCTAAGGCGAGGGCCCAGGAGGCAGTGAAAAGCAAAAGTTCAGGCGGCCTTCCACTCGACGGCCAGGGCAGCTTGACTCACCTAGTAGGCTAGTCACCAAGAAAAACTCCCTGCTGTAGCAGGCACCACTTGTAGTGCTGCGTAAGGAGTGGTCGTAGCCGTTGCAGCACCTCCTCAGGCGAGGCGTTGCTGACAAGCTGGAGTAGCTCCTGAAAGTGGTCTGGAACACTCCTCTTGACCGCGCTCCAGAAAGCCGAGGCACGCTGTCTGTTCGGCCAGTGTGCCCTTTGACCCTCCCATGGAAGCCAGTCTGCGGTGTCCCACAACATAATGAAGCCACGGGCATCAACACCAAAGTTGAAAAAGCCAAGATCCTTGAGATTGTAGAAACGGGAGGCCTCCGCAGTCAGTGCCATCATGTAGCGTACCATATCAAGGTCCGGCGGAGCTGGCCTCCACACCGAAAGTGGAGTGAGCCTAGACTGCCTCAAAACATGCGTGGGGATGATATCGTAGCAGCTCTTCCAAGAAAGCGTGAGCAGGTGAATACCCGCATCCAAAGTGCACGGCACTATATAAGGGAGCAGTCTCCAAACTTCCGGTTCTGGCCCGTGGCCTTGTGGTGGCGCCAACTTCAGAACGTGCTCCGAGGAGCCAGGGTCAACGTAAACTGTCCGGGACTTTCCGAAACCCAGCCGTCTCGCTCGAGCAGCTTTTGTTCGCCCACCTGTGACAAAGTCATGGTAAACTTCAAGGCTTTCCGGAAGGCACTGGTAGTGGTTCACCGGATGCTTCACCTGGGGCGCAGCTACACATAAGAAAGTGATTAGGCCATCCTCATGAAGAAGAGGGCCAAAGTCACTTGGGCGATCTTTCAGCGCGACTGCAGGCTGTGGTGTCTCACTGCTGTCAGATTGAAGACAGTTGCTGGAGTCGTCCTGGTCCACCGGTGGCTCTTCAGCTTCTGGAAGTCGTTGCAAAGGTAAGCCCGGGCTGCTGGATGCAGCAGCAGTAGGGGGTGGAGCCCTCAGCCCTAAAGGCGAGGGCTCCTCCCGTGCTGGGCCCCGGCTGCTGGAAGCAGCCGCAGTGGAGGGAGCCCTCAGCCCTGAAGGCGAGGGCTCCTCCGAGTCGGACGGCGGCTCTTCAGCTTCACGATGTCTCGCCTCCGCACGAGGTCCTGGTGGAGGTGATGGGGGCGGCCAAGCCTCCTCAGTTCTCCTGCCAGCGTGCTCATTTTGTGCGCGGCGCTTCTTCTGTTTGCGGGCTTTCTTACGTCCCCGCTGTCGGTCTATCGTCGCCGCTGATTTCCATGATAATCCCCGCTCCTCACGGCGGAGTTGCGTGGATATGTGCCGCCCTTCTTGCTTAGGCGCCATGCTTAGCAGGCCTTGGGCCTAAAAGCGAAGGGTGCGCTGTGTGGGGTCAGCCTTCGGTTTTGTTTTGGGTTTGGGTCTAGCTGGGGCCTTAGGCTTCACTGGCGGAACAGCTGCTGGCATGCCTAACTGAGATCGCAAACCTACAGACACGGACTGACCAACTGCTCTTTGCACTCCTGTGGACTGAGTGACCTCGCCTTGGCACTCCGGCAAACTTGGGGCAGCCGCTGCAGAGGAGGCGACAGGCCCAGCTGAAGGGTTGACCTGGGCAGCGCTCAAAAGGCCAAGCTTAGGAACTGCAGAAACACGCTCTGGCATAGGGCCGGCACCGGAGGTGCTGGCAGATTGAAAGGCACTGGCAATAGATCGGGTGGAGACTCCACCAACCTGTGCCAAGGCGCAAGCCTTGGTGCCACTGTTTACTTTACGCCCTAAGCCTTTACATGCAGACTGAAGAAGGGACGAGGGCGAGACCGCGCCAAGTTTTACGCAGGCCAAACACTTGGCACACAAAAAGTGAGATCCTCGATTATGCATGTCATGGCTGGGGTGTATTTTCCAACTGGGCGGCACAGCTGCAGCAACACCACGGCACGGGTGTGTAATTTTTCGATTGAAAACATCAAGCGAATGACATTGTTCAATATATAAATTGCATTTTTCACAATACACCGAGAAGTTGTTTGCGGCCTTAGTCTCGCGGGCTTTCCAATCATGACCAAGTGCTGGATCAGGGGAGTCCAGCAACTGCTTCAGGCGCTGTTTTTTGTTAGGCGGCGGGACTTTAGTGCTTGCAGACACAGCTGCAGCTTGCGACCGAGGCTTGTCAAACTGGCTTAAGGAATCTCTAGCGGAGCGGGGAACAAAACCCTGGGCTTTTTCCTTGATCAGCTTCTCAGCCCTAGAGGCGAGAAAACAGTTGAGTTCCCGGGTTACCAAGTCGAGTTCCTTTACTTTGCGTACAAAATGCGGGGTGCATGCAGCAGCAGCTCGGCTCCCTGCGAGAGTGTCTGCTTTGGCATTGAGTTCGCGGCGCCAAAGCTGACCAGGGAATTCAGCCTCAAAGGCCTCAGCCGTGCAGTGGCTCCTAACCCAGTGCGGTTGAGCCCTTGCTCGCTCCTGCCAGACTGGACCCCATTCAGGGATATGTTTTTTGTTGAGAGCTCTGGCAGCCAGGGCTTTGAGAGCCGGCTTGCAATCACCTGTGAGATCAAAGCTGCCAGTGGTGGCCTTGAGGGCTTCAATGATTGCGAGGGACTCCCCCTGAGGCACCGTGCTGCCCGGCGGAAGAAGGCCTGAGATGGTTCCGTGCTCAATAAGGCCATCAGCGCGGAGTTCGCAAAGCACGACCGACCACCCTACAGCCCTAAGGCGAGGGTCGTGGGTATTGGGACCTCCGCTAGCATCAGTACCTATGAGGAGCCCAGTGACATCAACCGGCTGATGACAAAACAGCCCTGTCACCCTGGTTTCCAAAGCTGAGGCCGAGACCTGCGGGGTCGTCCAAGCCTTTGGGACCATTCCTCGTAGCCAGAAGCAGGGGTCTGGGTGCTTGCGCTGAAAACTACGGAGGGCCGGGCTTAACTTAGCAGGCGCAAGCGGGCACTCATAGTAGACATGGTGCAGGGTATTCTCAGCCCCGCATGCGCAATGCGAAAACCCCCCGTTCCCAGCGTGCAAGGTGCGTCCTTGCCACACGGCGTGAAAAGCCCATCGCGGGGATGAAAGCTTGGAAACCTTTAAGAGCTTTCGGTGGACTGACCAGTCCACTCCTTGCTGGGCACCTTGGGCCGTGAGGACTGCACCAAAGCGGGAAGCCCTTTCAAGGGCAACAACCTGAGTGAGAAAGCGGCGAACTGACAGGAAAAGGCCAGGGTTGGTGACATCAAGCAGAAGAACCCCGCTGCTATGAACCCAGCGCAGAGGATCACTGACATTGATGCGCAAATCAATACAATACTGCACCATAGCAGCAACCGGGCCTGCAACACACTTCCATCCATGCACGGCCGCCTCTTGGCGAGTCCAGGCCACCTTCCAGGTGCGGGCTAGGATTTCCCAGCCTTGTGCCGTGGAGGGGCCGAACATTTTATACAAAGCATCAGCCTGCGCAAGGACAACTGTCAACGATGGGTCTTGACAACGGAAGGACATACAGTCCAGAGACACGTCGACAGAGCCCCACTTGGACCGCCCAACATGCCTGGAGATGGATGCGCGAACGACCTTGAGCCTTTTGGGGGACAAGCCCTGTCCCTGGCAACCATAGATCTCGGCCGTAAGAATGGAAGTGGCATACAATTTGTGGGCTTTGCAGCCTGTGCCAAGTTGGTGAAGTTTCTGGTTTCGGGCGCGGCCGACCTTGAAGCGTTTCAAAGCATGCGTAACCCTTCTGCGCTTGGCACCTGCCGAGTCAAGTCCAAGGTCCCGGACCAAGTCAGCAACCTGAGGATCGCCTTCAACACGCATACTGTTGAGTGCTTTGGCCGCCTTGGCACTATTGACAACAAACTTGGTTTTGGTTTTGTTAACGCAAAGCTTCTCAACGGAAAGCAGGGCCTCCAATTTCCTGGAGGCCGACAGGGCCAAAGAGGCCGCAACCTCCGGGTCAGCATGAGACACATCGACACTGATGTCATCAAGCCATAAATCAGCATGGCTGACCCCACGGTGCTGGGAGATGCCCTGCAGCGGAGCATGAGTGGTGAGTTTTGCAACCGTGGGTGCGTACGGGCACCCCTGAAGGATGCCCCTCTGGGGCCACAAAGCAACAGTGCTGACCCCCTCGCCATGGAGACAACGAGGCCCATTGTAAAGCTGAAGACTAAGTTCCAAAAGCAAGGGTGGAAATGACAAAGCTTTGCCTTGTGAAATCAGTCGTGAAAAATCTACCCCATCATAGAAACCTTCAAGATCAACGAACAAAGTTATGAAAGTAACTTTGCGAAATTTATGATCCTCTGCCTTGATCAAGCGAGAAAGTGCTGGGTCAAGGGAAGTGTGTCCTGGGGTGGCGGAGTCGAAAGGGGCAAAGGCCGCGTACTCCTTTAACCAGCTCTCCAGGAGCGGGCGTCGCAGCTTGCTGTACACTCGCCAAAGGACCGATGTGAGAGATATGGGGCGCTCTTTTTCTGGGGTTTTTGCAAGAAGGGCGACCTGCACCGTAAGCATTTGAAGCGGCAAAGTAAGGTCAGTCTCAGCAAGACGAAAGAGCCCCGCAAGCTGTCGGTAGCAGAAGTCAGGGAGGTTACGCAGAGCCTTGTACGACCAACCATCAAGGCCTCCCTTCTTGTTGCCCGTGGCCAGGCACGCTGTCTTGACCTGCTCCCAAGATAGCGGTGACAAATCCTGCGCCTGCTGCAGGGCCTCAGCCCTTAAGGCGAGGCGCTCTGCAGACAGGTGAGGCTGCGGCGGCACAATTGACGCATCCCAGATGCGGCTCCAGAACTCCATGCGACAGTAAGCCCGGGCAAGGGCCGACTGGTCCCGAAAGGGCCGGGCGAGAGTCTGTTCGTGGCTTTTAAGAGCACGATACACCGGCCCCATGCCAGCCGATAGGGCTCCAAACAGCCATTGTTGATATGACTCCGCCTGCGCTCCCTGCTGAGCGGTCTTAGCAAGCTTGTCCCGGGCTTCGTCTGCCCATTGATGATGCTCAGGGCCGAGCTTGGAGAGCAGGGAAAGGGTTTCATTGGGCGGCCCCCCAGCCTTGAACCGGCCTGCGAGCTGGGACCAGACAGAGTGCTCGTGACCAAACCACTGGTAGTCATTGGGGGGTTGCGACACGGCCGGCTGACGAATCGTCGGCAAGTTTACCCCCCTGCCCATGGACCTACCGAGTAAACCTGAGGCCTCAGCGGTAGCAGAAAACTCCGCAAAGGCGAGGGAGGCGGGGTCACAAGCCTCGATTTCCAGGAGGGTGACCCTCTGCGGTGACACAACCGGGGGTTGCAAATTGCGCTGGTCGTCAAGAATGGGGTCAAAGGTGTCAGTGATGGAGCGCAAATTTGGCTGGAGGTCCTGCAAAGACTTCAGAGGAAGGGTGCACTTAAGCGCCGCATGGGGCTTAAAGGGAACATCCCAGGCAAGCTCAAGCGAAAGATGCGAGGCCAACCGGGGGTGGACCAGTGCATAGTCCAGCTCGGCTGCTGTGCCTGCAGTAGGCATCCCAGTACCAAGTAACCGACCCTTTGTAAGGTCCTCAAGCCTGGTGGCGAGGACCTCACAAGCATCTAGGTTCCAGTCTCCAACCACGCACCACGGGCACTTGAGCGAGGCAATCACTGCATACATATTGGACAGGACCAGGGTATTGGCCCGGCCTTCAAAAGTGCTGCCTGACTCAAGATACAGCGACAAGAGGGCTAAGTCGAAACCCGTCACCCGAATAGCGACAGCTACGAAACCACAGCCCGTTTCAGGATCCTGAAAGGTGTGAACATGTCTGGCCTGCAAATGTGACTTAACACACACCATCACACCCCCAATCTCCCGCTTGCGAACAGGAGAATGCTGGCCATGGACATGGTAGCCTGCCTTGGCGAGGGCCACCGTTTCAGCATGAAAGGCCCTCTCCGAAAGGTGGTGCTCCTGAATCAAGGCCACATCAAACTGGTGAAAGACCAGCCACTGCCTAAGTTCAGGTCTCCAGGAAGTCACATTTGCCGAGACAAACTTGAAAGTACGAGGCTGACCCGAGGAAACAGAGTGGACTAAGTCCTCAGAAGCACGAGCGATGCGGGCCCAGGTCTCAAGGCTGTGATCCTGAATCTCAGTGGCCTCCAAAGACTTAAAAAGGACCCAGTGTTCCAAAGTGCCCTCCTGGCATTGCTCCTCAAGCCCTTCGGCGAGGTGCAAAAGGTCAGGCTCCTGGTTCCAGGCAGGATGCAAAGCTTTATATGCACTCAGGTTGAGAAGAGAGCCCCAGCCTGACCGACCAAGGCTCTTCCCAACCTTGCACACCGCAGGGGATGGTGGGCCTTGTGGGCCAGGAAAAGGTTCAGCATCCTGTGGGGTTGGCGCAGCATGGTCAAAGCGGGAACCATGCTCTTCCAAGAAAGACATGATCGGTCCCCTAACCAATGGTTTCTTCACAACCTTAGGTTCCGAAGAGGCGCCCTCCTCCGGCGAATGAAACATGGCGGGATGGAAAAACTTTGGGCCAGTCAGGGCACAGCTAGGGGATGGCCAAAAGGGACGGGATACAGTCCTGGGGAAAACAAACCCATCCTCGAGCTGGGCTGGCTGGTCTTGCAAGGGAGATCCGAGCCTCGAACCCGGTGGTGAGGCTACGGCCAGGCCCACGTCAGCACTGCAAATGCTGGCCTGAGCATGTTTTGATGCGTAATTGACATGGATTTCGGCACTGCAAATGCAAAACTGGACTCCCACGGCATTTGGCACGAAAGGGAGGCCACAGTGCCAGCACTTGAAAAAGGTGTTTGACGCGTCAGGGCTTGCGCTTGGCTCCGAAACTTCCAGATCACGCAAAACCTCACTCAGAGAAAGAACCGGAAGACAAAACCCGGGGCCCCCGCGCAACCCCCCACCTGGATCCTAAAGCTCGTCACCCTTGTCACCGCGCTTGGGCGAGCGACTGCGCGCCTTGCCGGACTGGCTGTTCAAGTCCTTAGCGTCGGCGGCGTTTTGCTGGGGTTCGGCGGCCGGGGGTGCCGTAGACTTCGGGAGCAATCCCGGCGGGAATTGCTCCTGCTGCTGGGTCTTGCGGCGCTTGGCCTCGTCTGCGTTTTCCTTCTTGAGAGCTTCGAGACTGCGCTTTTGGGCCTCCGTAAGGGCCTCTTCCTGAATCCCCAGGGCCTGCCATGGTTGGCCTCTTCATTGCACTGCGTGAGAACCTTGGTTTCATACTCCTGAGTGGCTTTGTTGACCTCAGTCTGTGCTTCCTGGATGGAAGCTTGCAAGTCCTGCATCTTTGTCAGCAGGGCCCTCAGATTGGCCTTGGCCAGGTCAATGTCTTCTTGCAGCTTCAACTTACGCTGGCCAAGGTCGCGCAACTTACCGACGAGTTGCGCCACTCAACACCTGCAGCCTTGCCTTCCTGCACTGGGTTAGGGACCGGTGCTGCTGGCAGAGCATCCAGGACTTCCTGGGGGAGATCATCACGGTTGCGCTGCAAAAGGCTGAGTAGGTCAACATCTTCCTGCTTCGGGGCCGGCACTTTAAAGCCAGCCTGCTCAAACTGCAAACACACATCTGCAGGCAAGGTGGACCACAACTTCTGAAGGCAGCTTGCTAGCTTAGCTGGCTTCGGCTGCCGAGTTCGAGGTCGCGGCCTGCTAGGTTCTCTCCAAGGTGCCTGCGGTACATCAGCGGGCCAAGGCTTGCCACACCAACTGCACTTCGCAAACTTCTGCACTTTAGAGGCATAAATCCAGCTTGCAGGACCACAGGTTTTGCACACATAGTACCTACCTCCTGCCATGACTGTTCTCTCAGCCCCTGAGGCGAGTGAACAGCCCTCAGCCCTGGAGGCGAGGGCCGGCACCTGCACGCTGGAAAGTGACTGGCAAAATGCCAGCACTGCACAAGTATGGCTCGCGAAAGGATAAGCTGGGATTCCTGTTTGAGTCCTGTTGCCCCAACGACAGTTAAGGCCCAGAGGCTCAGTTGAACACAGCTACGCTCCCTACGCAGAACACCCACCTCTGAAAGCAGGGCTCGAGCCAGACTTGAGCCAAGGATTGAAAATCAACTCCCCCTCATGAACCTGTCGTCGAGAAAAGGTACCGGTCCAGTGGCTGCTGTTGCGTATTGGGCTCGTAGATCTTCTCACGGTCCACGATACTGCGGCTGTACAAAGAGGAGTCAGCACCTACCAAGCACTCAAAGCCCTAAGAGCTATGTGAGCAAAAGCTTCGGGGTAGTGCTGGGTGTTCTTCAGAACGAACATCTTACTATGCTCGTGGTTTCCAGGGCACTTTAATTTATCCATGCAGTGAATGAGAACATGACTGTTCGAGCACAACCTCCAAACCTTCTTCACAGGAAGTGCGTCCATTCCAACCATACCGCAGGCACAACCATGCACAAGAGCAGTCTCATGCGGATTGATGTTAAGGAATGACTTCGTAGCGGACCATCCCCAGTAAGCACAACGTTGCGGCCACTCAATGACCCAAGTTGCCGAATCAGATGTGTTGACTAGCTTCAAGAAGCTCTTCCAGAGCTTTCGGTGGACTGTGAAAAGTCCTTTCATCCTTTCATCATAGTGATCTGCAGATCGGGCTTGGTGATACCGCTGCCAAGGCGAACCACCGGTACAGGGCGTCGAAGCCCACACAACAACATGCATGTTCCGACGGTGTGCCGCACGAAGGGCGTGCTCAATGAGCTCGATGGTCTCTGGGAGAGTACCATCCGTTTCTTCCGTCACGGGAATAGCATGGATGCCATAATGGCTAGCAAGCTTAGTCAACCAGGCTTCTCCAGAGGTGCAGAACTCGACCATCACAATGTAATGCGGTGTCTGCCACCGACAACGACCAACCAACACACTCCAAGGATCATCGACGCTTGCAGAAAACAGACCTTTGAACGCGGCAAACACAAGGCAACGGACCGGGGGCGCATCACCTCGAAGATAGTCACTACGGGTGAGACGTTCCTCAAGACACAACTGTCCTATATGATACCAAGTTTGCGCGACACTCAAGTTCTTTGTTTGCAAGTCGGCGACGTTATCCGTTCCTGGGACGTGTGTAACCAGGATCTCGCAGTTCTCAACCTTATCCTGCAAGTAGCTTGTCGCTTTCCAACGCTGGGCTTCGAAAAGTCCTTTGCGAACCCGCCGATGGACCACTGTGGGTCATCGCGAGAGGCGCCGCACTTTGTGCAGCAGAACACTAACTTGTACCTAGGGTACGCAGAACTACGAGCTACGGCAGGAGCTTGAAGCTCAACACTACGGGCTACGGCAGCAGCTACGGAACTACGGCCAAAACTGCAGTGCAGAAGCACTTGGGGACTGCAGGTCACACACGAGTGACGCGAAACCACTGGCACTCGCGACTACGCAACAGCTGTCCCCTGAGGAGATGGCACTGTGCGTGGCTTTTTGGTATAGCAGACAAGGTAAGCATTCGCATGTATCTCAGCAAGTTCGGCAGGCTTGGCAAGCTTAGCAACCCGATTATCGTCAGTGTAGAAAACCTTACGTGCCATATCCTCAAACAGAGCCGCTCTGTAATGGCCAGTTGCCATTCGGGGACCAATGTGGACGATGGCCGCTCGTAAGTGGTATTCTAAGACCCTAGTGGAGTGGCCTGAGAAGTAAGGAACCTTCAGGACAGGGTCGAGAGTAACGGGTTCTAAAACCTTTTGGGCATCAGCATCGTCTACATCAAACCGCGCAAGCTGAAGGATCAGGCACTCCGGCGTCTGAAGCAGAGCATGCGTTGGGGCCTGGGTGTGCCACAAATCGACGAGCAACTGAACAGAGAAGTGACTTAACAGAGGCGCGGTCAAAAGAAGTGGACAGGTGTCTCCCGAATCCCGCACCTGATCATGGGAATCACGGGCTTGCCACAGTCCCTGAAGTGCAGGAGTCTGCATGCGCGCCTGAAGGTGTTGCACAAACTCAGCAACATCGTGTTGCTCTCGAGGATTCCTCCAATCAGCAAGGAGCTGTTGCCACCCAAGCAGGCTCCACAGGCTAAAAGGCTGCCGTCCCAGTATGCAAGCCTCCAAAGCGATGAACACATGTCTCGGAATCACCGCCTGATTGCATGCACGACTGCACCAAAGCAAGGCTGCCAGTGAGGCGTTGGCATAGCAGAGGTTGGAGCCGTTAGTGAGGCGCATCCTCAGCTGGATGGCGTCGTCGACCTTGCTGCTTAGTCTGAGGGAGGTGCTCACTGGGGTATTAGCTGGTACCGAGGGAGAGCTTAAGGTTAAGGCTGGGGCGGCGGCGGGGGCGGTGCAGGCAGGAACTTGTAGATCTGTTGAGCAAGAGGGGACCTCGTCAATCGTTCGGGTTTGATGGACATGCCGATCACCTGGCAGCAAGCGCTGCCGCAGAGCTCCGCGAGGGAGGCGTGCATTTGATCGCTCGGTGTGGTGCGATTGGACACCGACGCCAGGAAGGTGATCGATGGGCCCTTGAGTTCCGATGCCAGAGGCCTGGTGGGGGCAAACCGAGTCAGCAGCTGGGAGTCCGTCGCCAATCGGATCACACTCTCCACCAGCTCGATCGCGGCCGCCGCCGTCAAAGGTGGGCGAGTGGTGTCTGGGATCAGCTTGGCCTGATCCGGGTCCCACCGAAGGAAGTTCCATTTGCCCTCGTCTGTGAGAAAGCCGAGCTTCTTCATGTTGGTTTGGATCTCCTGTGTCATGCGAGCCGGTTGCAGTCGCTTCAGAAACTCGCGCCATACACACATCCACAGGGTGAGCCGCAGCGGGGATGTGGGAGGAGTGGTCTCCCGATCGGCCTTCCACTTGGTCGCCACCGCAAACAGGGCCTCCGGGACTCCACCCGGCAAGCCTGTGCGCATCCAGATGACGAAGGATGTGTCCAGCATGAGGGTCTTGATCGAGTCCTCGTGCCGTACCATCAAGCGGATCATCATGTGGCACAGGGTCCAAAGCTGGGCGACTTCCTCGTCCTTTGTTTGACTGCTGTTGGCACTGCCTTTGCCCTTGCCTCCGCCCTTTTTGCCCTTTCCTTTGCCTTTTCCCTGCCTGGGGTCTGTCTTCTGAAGCTTGCTTGGGGGCTCTAGCGGTCGCTTGGGTGTCGTCGAGGGTGTCGTCGTCATGGCTGTGCTCATGAACGCCGAGTACAGCTCCCACTCTCTCTCCTCCTCTTGGTCGTGAGTCAACTTCTGGTCCACATCCATCGTCATGGCTGGGACTGGGGAGTAAATCGGGATCGAGACTAGAGAAGACCGACTGCCAAATGACCGTGCAGCCCTCAGCATGCCTACATGGAGCACATCGGTAAGCTTGCGAACAGAACTGACATGGACGTTGCACCTGAACAGCCTTGGCTTCCTTGACAGCTTGATTCAACCTATCTACAGCCGATGGATGTTTGGCACGAATGTGGATCTTGATGCGACTGCCGTCGTTCGCCCAAAGATTGCATACTGGGCAGTGGTGCGCCATGCGAGCATGCAATTCTGCCT